GAATAAGTCTCCTCATAATCGATTCCGGGTCTCTGTGAGAATCCTTGTGCTACAAGCCGTGCTTTGTATCGAACGACTTCACCGAGTTCGTTCCTTTTGCGCACAAAGACCCATTTGTGGCCCACTGGCTTGATGTGTGATGGGGTCCGGATGATCGGACCGAACACGTTTCTGAGTTTGAGACTCTTTAACTCCACGTTTATGGCTTCTTTCCATTTTAGCCAATCTGTTCGATGTGTACACTGTGTTATTGACGTGGGTTCTAGATCCTCTTGCGTGAGCGCAACATCAAGTGCTACTTTGTATGCAAAGAGTGCATTTAAGTCGACTTCTTTTCGATTCCATTGTATTCCGGACATATTGTAATTGATGGAGATCTCATTGTTATCTTCTGAACCTGGAGATTCGGCGTCCCGAACTTCCATTGAGGGTTCATTAGATTGAGTCTCAGCCGCGGCTATGTCTGATATTGCAGGAATCCCGGTTTCGGTTATTGCACCTTTCTTTGATTTCCGGGGATTCTTATCTTTGGAACCGAGAGGTCTGCCCCGTTTGAGACGTGGTGCAGACTCTGTAGCAATTTGGGTCTGTCCCGTTGGGACAGCTATTCGTACTGGTGCATTACAAGCTGGGATGTACGATTTGGTTACTTTGGTCGGGTCAGCAAAGGAATCTGGCAATTGATTAGCTAGCTTTTGATAATGAATAATCTTTTGGATCTCTGAATCACATTCTAGAGTCCGAGGATCTTGCCAATTTAATGATGTTTGATTCCATGAAAGATCTTTGACCAGCTTGTTTGTCTCACCACCTAAAGAGGGATATACCGATTCATCGAATTGGCAATCCGCATATCTGGCCTTGAAGAGATCTCCAGTGGTTGGCTCGAGATATCTTATGATGGTGGGAGAGTCAAAACCAACATATATTCCCATCCTTCTTTGAGGTCCCATTTTGGTTCGATGTGGTGGAGCAATGGGTACATATACTGAACACCCAAATGTTTTGAGATGGGAGATGTCTGGCTCATGACCCGAGAGTAGTTGGGATGGGGAATATTTGTGTTCACTAGATGGCCGGATGCGTATGAGTTCAGCAGCATGTAATACTGCATGTCCCCATGCTGAGGTCGGGAGCTTTGATCTCATGAGTAATGGTCGGGCTATCCATTGAATGCGTTTAATGAATGATTCAGTCAATCCATTTTGAGTATGGACATGTGCTACAGGATGTTCCACGGTTACCCCCATGGCCATACAGTAGTCATTAAACGCTTGTGAGGTAAATTCATCAGCATTGTCAAGGCGGATAGTCTTTAGTGGGAAGTCAGGGAAATGGGCCCGCAATTTTATGATTTGGGCCAAGAACCTAGCGAAGGCTTGGTTCCGAGAGGACAAGAGACAAACATATGACCAACGGGTCGATGCGTCTATAAGGACCATGAAGTACCGGAATGGTCCGGAAGATGGATGTATAGGTCCACAGATATCGCCCTGGATTCTTTCTAGGAAATGAAGTGTTTGTTTAGAGATTTAACTGGTGAAGGCCGAGTGATCAATTTGCCTTGAGAACAAGCTGTGCACATGAGGTGTTGAGGATAAGCTCGGTTTTCTTTGAGGGTATGCCCTTGAGAGTTTTGAATTAGTTTACGCATCATATTTGCACCGGGATGACCGAGCCGGTCGTGCCAAATAGTATAATCAGTAAACCGGGCTTTGAGAGTGGTATTAACTTCAATCATACTGACTTTAGCATGGTAAAGTCCAGTAGAGAGCGCGGGTATGGTTTCGAGGATTTGTTTATGGCCGTCTACGGTTTTAGTGACTAGGAGGGATTCTTTGTTCCCTTGACCTTGGGTTTCTATGTGGAAACCATTCTGTCTTATATCCTTGAAGCTCAGAAGATTTCTCTTCGAACTAGGAGAATATAGAGCATCTGGTATTTCAAGTTGTGTGCCATTTGATAGCAACACATAGGCATGGCCATATCCTTCGATAAGGTTTGAGGGGCCCGCGATGGTGCTAATATTTGCGGTTTGATAGGTTAGGTTTATGAAGTAACTTTTGTTTCTTAAGATAGTGTGGCTGGATCCACTATCTACGACTATGGTTTCCATTTGCTGGTGTGCTTCATTATGAATAGAAGATAGAATTCAGTATTGAGGAATTCAGAAAATGTGATAAATCATAAAGTAAAGCAGTGTCTGAGAATAAAGGCAAATGGAAAAAAAATGAAACAAATCCCAAAATGAAAAAAATAAAGAACAAAATCAAATTGTATCAGAGTTTCAGATGATTGAATTAATCGAGGAGATCAGCTGTTTCATAGTCCATGGGGTCGGTCTGCTCGTTTGTGGTGTTCTCATCATCAAGGAGGTCGTCACCTTCCAGGTTAGCAGCATCGACTGGCTGAGTCATGTTGGCTTCAGCAGGAGCTTTTCTGTACTTCTGGTATAGATCGCAGTGGATCTTGGGGGTGCGACATTGCTTTGTTGGGTGGTTGAACATCCCACATCTGGTACAAGTAGAGTGATCGGGGTTGGTGTGGCGGGTCGGCTTGGTGATGCCTCGACCACGACCAGGACCATAACTGAGGTTAGGTCGGTTGCCACGACCATGTCCGCGTCCACGTCTTCCACGTCCATGTCCTCGGCCATTACCACGTCCATTACCACATCCACGGCGGTGATCTGAGGATCTATCGGGTTGAACATGGTAGGACTCTTGACGAGAAGCTGGGACAAGAGCCGATCCCGGGGGCCTCATAGCGCTGTTCCTCATAAGCAGCTGGTTATTCTTCTCAGCGAGGAGAAGACAGGACAACAAGTCTTCGTACAATGTGTGTTTCATTGCACGGTATTGTTGTTGGAGCACAACATTCTCTGTGCTGAATGTGGATAATGTTTTCTCGAGGAGATCATTATCTGTCACATCCTCGCCACAGAGTTTCCGGATGGCAACAATACGAAAGAGTTCGTTGTTGTAATCATCTACAGATTTGTAGTCCTGGAACCGAAGGTTCTTCCAGTCGAAATCTGCCTGAGGCAACTGGACCATTTTCTGATGGTCATATCGCTTTTTCAGCGCTTGCCACAATTCAAGTGGATTCTCAAGAGTGAGATATTGCTGCTTAAGGCTCGGGGACAGATGATGGCGTATGTGACATATCGCCTGAGACTGTCCCTTACGGGATGCGGTGTTACCGTCGGTAATACATGCATCGAGTTCTTTCGATGCAAGGAACAAGCGCATGTCTAGGGCCCACTCGAGGTAGTTATCCCTGGAGACGTGAAGGGCCTCGAATTCACATTTCTGAATGTTTGACATCTGAAACATGAGATTGATTTTGTTAGGGATTGTTTTGAGAAAATTTTGAATGCTGATGATGAAACTTTCTATTTTGAGAATATTTCTATTTTAGGAAAGTTTCTAAATTTGGAAAGTTTCTAATTTGGGTAATTTTCTAAATGAGGAAAGTTTCTATGTCGGGAAAATTTCTATATGAGGAAAGTTTTTATATGAGGAAACTTTCTATTAGAGGGAACTTTCTCGGAAATAGTAAATTTTAAAGGGTATGGTTTTAGTTACCCCGAACATGATGTCGGTTTAATAGCTGTGATTTAATCGGTTAAAGCCGAATATAATTTCGGTTAATGAGAACCAGGTTTAGCCGGTTTTAGGCGGTTTAGAAGGAACCCTAGGGGAGCCGAATATGATTAGGGTTTTATCTAGGGTTTTAACGGTTTGGAAAACATATTTTGGATGTGATTTCGAGATCTATAGGATCTGTGGTCGATGGTTTTAATAATTTCACAAGGACAACAAAGAAATCACGTGAAAAGGACTAGGGTTTAAGCATTATGACTTACGATTTTGAAGATTACAAAATCGTGAATCAAGCTTAGGATTTAGGGTTGATTTTCTTAGTTTATTCAATCAAGTGTTTCAAGCAAGAGAATCAACAATCAAATAAGCTGCAACAAGCTTATTAAACATGAAGAAAATCGAATAGGTTTATGCCATAAACATGGCCAAAAACGGTTGTTAGGTTTTTGTAGATTAGGGTTTTATAAAACGAGTTTAAAACCTTTGAACATGCATAAACTTGTAATTTAAACAATCAATCAACAAGTTATCAATCAATCATCAGAGTATCAAACACTTTCAATCAATTAGAGATCGATTTTTTTTTTTATTTTTTATTTTTTATTTTTTTATTATAGGGTTTTGAAGTGTTTAAACAACAGGTTCTATGGCTCTCAGTTTTAGAAGATACCTTTTCCACCTTTGGATTTCTGACAGGCTAATGAAACTGGGAGCTAATAGACCTCAGTTAGCCGCTACAAATTCCAAGGATTGATCACCAAAACTGGAGAAGCTGCTGGTTGAAGAAGGAAAAACTCGGATCTGGTTTTTTTTTTTTTCGGTTGATCGTCGTGTACTGTAAGTGTGCGTGAGGGCGCGTCCGACGTTGGATCGACAAACGGTTTTCACCAGTAGATTCGTCTCGTCGAGGGCTTCGATTTGATATGTAGATCGTCTTCTGGTTCCTCACGGTTTGGAAGATATGCGTCTTTTAAGTTTCGACTTGCTTTTAGGGTTTTAGTGGTGGCCGGATTTATTAGGGTTTTTCGCTCAGAGAGTCTTATCGTGCTGATAACGTGTTGTGAAAACTTAGAAACTTTATTAATCACTGGAATGTATATATAGAGTATATAGGGAATCTAGGTTAAATACAATGTCCTGATGGGCCTAATGGGCCGGTATAAGAGTCCATATGATATGTGTTACAACACTATGATTATTTTTGTTATAACATTTTTAATATAGTACCAATTCAGTTAATGTAACTCTGAAACAATATATTAATTTGAAATTTTATTATAGTTTAGCTAAAACATGAAATTAATTAATAAATACACGATCCAATTAAACCCCAAATCAATTAATTATCACTAAGACCCTGAAGTTTTGAGATTATAAGATTTTTTCCAATTTGCTTCCTCCAAGGGGAAGACAACTTTCGTAGAGAGCGAAGCATCGTATCTAGCCTCCTCCTCTTCACGATATTCGAAGTCTCCTTTCTCCAGACAATTCCAGATCAGAAGGATTCGCGTTAAAGTGGTCGATTCTTCGATCCCCGAGGCAAGGATTTTGGTTTGTGTGAGAAACCCATTTCTGTAGTTTGATTTTGTAAGTGGAAGTGTAAAAGCTTCAGCGAAGGATATAGGCGATGGCGGTTGAAAAGAAGGACCATGAAGGAACGGTGGTTGAGAACGGCGAGAAGAATGATTCCGCCGTTGTACCCTCGGTCTCGGCCTCTGCCGGCGGTGGCGACGGCGGCGAGAAGAAGAAGAAGCCTAAGGGTTTGTTCTCGCGTATTTGGAATGGGATATTTAGGGTTAAAGGAGACGATTTCGAGAAGAGACTTACAGGCATCTCAAAGGAAGAAGCGACTGTTCGATCCAGGATGAAGCGCAGATCGATTACAAGGAGAAAGCTCGTTCGAAATCTCATCGCTTTCTCTATCTTCTTTGAGGTCAGTTCTGAACTAAGTTTTTGTTTTCTTATGCTTTTGTTGATGAATAAAGTCGATTTTTTTTCAGTTTGTGTACTGAAAATGATTCCCTTAGAGCTTGTATGATATGATATGAACAGTTCCTCTTTCTGCTTTCAGATAATTGCAGTGGGTTATGCGATCATGACAACCAGAGATGAGGATTTGGATTGGAAACTGAGGAGTTTCAGGATCTTGCCGATGTTTCTTTTACCTGCTCTTGCTTCTCTTGCATACTCTTCACTCGTTAGCTTCACGAGGATGTGTGAGTCTTGTGTTTTCCTTCTTTTATATGCTCATCTTAATGTGAAATGTTGGGATCTTGTCTTAGGTTTGGTGTTTTAATCCTGTCTTTCTGTGTAAAATGGTTTGGTTTAGGTGACCGCCGAGATCAAAGTACATTGGAAAAGCTTCAACGTGAAATGTTGGGAAAGATGGATGAGTTAAAAGAGAAGACCAATTATTTCACCACACTAGATATTATTCGTGTAAGTTTGCTAAGACACAAGTCGTCGGTTAAAGAGATTTTCTTGTGTGAGCAAGGCTAGTTCACACAACTGCAGTTCAGATTTTTATTGGGTTTCTGGTATTCCTGTTAGAATCCCATTTTACAGGCTCTTTTACGCTAGTTTTCAAGCTGCACTAACTTTATTAACGGTCAAAATAGTTGCTCTATGTGTTAGTCAAAGATTATTTGATTGTAGTTTTGGTTTAAGGGCGGTTAGGAATCTAAACTTAAAGTTTTACAGTTGAATTTTATAGTGTGATAGGTATCCCAAATTTAGTTAATTGGAGACCTGCACTTTTGAGTTCTGGAATTACTTCCTATTGCAATATGTTCAGAACCTTGAATGAGAATGAAATGCTGATATATTTCAGTGGATGCTTGTTACTGTGGGTTTTCTCCGGTACTGAACTATTTTAACTTGAGCTTTGTATCAGAAGATAAAAGGGGGGTTAGGAATCTAATCTTTAAGTGTCACATGTGTGATGTGTGTCCCAAAATGAGTTAATTGGAGACCTGTACTTATGAGTTCAGGAATTACTTCTTATTGCAATATGTTCAGGACCTTGAAAGATAATGAAATGCTGTATATGTCAATGGATGATTGTTACTGTTGGTTTTTTTTTTCCTGTACTGCAGCTTCCTATATTGTAACTTGAACTTTTATTTAATTTGAGCTATTTTGCATCAGAGGTTTGACCCTGACCCAGCTGCAAGGGCGGCCGCTGCAACTATTCTGGCATCCAAGTTGGGTGCTGATTCAGGCTTGAAAGTATTTGTAGGAGATGAATCCCAACTTGACGCCTCCACAGGGAAGAGCAATGACATGGAAGCCAAACACTCGCAAGGGCTCAGGAACCGAAGACAACCAAATGCAAAACGCAACAGTGCTGGGACCACGCCAACCCATTATTCTGATAACGAGTCTAACCATTCTGGAACAAGCGAAGGAACCACCGGCACAGAGCAAAACCAGCAGATGGCTTTTGAGCATTATAACCCTCAGGGATATGCTGCTCATGATGGCAGCTGGATCTCACGCATTGCGGCTCTCCTCGTGGGAGAAGACCCAACTCAGTCATATGCACTCGTCTGCGGGAACTGCCATATGCATAACGGTGAGCGAGCTATTCATCTTTCTCTTTGTCTTCTAATATACTTTCCGTTAATAACATAGTTTTAACAATGTTTCTCTCTCTCGTCACATAGGACTTGCCCGGAAAGAGGACTTCCCGTACATGACTTACTACTGTCCTCATTGTCAAGCCCTGAACAAGCCGAAACATTCAGAAGAGCATTCACTTATTGCTCCTGCGGATACAGTCTCTCTGAAGCCAATGGAAAGCGAAGTGAAGAATAGCAGTAGCTCGACCAGTGAGCGTGGTGACAGTCCAGTGCCTTCACAGATTTTGGAAGAAGCCCCGGAAACAACTCAGAGTGGGACACCAAGCTAAGAAAGTTCCTGTGAGGTAACAACAACCAAAAAAAAAAAAGAGGCTTTCTTTCAAGTGTTTTGCTAAAAAAGAGAGGTTGATGTGTACTAAAAAGGAGAGGTTGATATGTGCTAAAAAAGAGAGGTTGATATATGCTATAAAAGTAAAATCTGTAGCTGCTTGCAATTTTGATTGTTGAACACAGACAATCCGAATAGGTTTTTATTATTTATTTATTTATTATTCTGTCTTTTTTCCTTACATGTTGAGTAAATAACTAAATATATTCTATTCAAATGTCATCACGACATCTAATCATTAAGGAACTAGAATTACAAGTAGCTTTAATTTTCGTCATTGTAGGTAATTAGGTGTTTCATTTCGATGAGAAAATATCATAATCTCAAATAGTAAAACTGATTACCAGAGAAAAACAGAAAGAAAACAAAAAACACAAACATGAAGAAGGTTTGTTCATCACACAGTATCTCCCGCCAAAATCGGATTAAGTTTCACCATCACCTACCATTTTTTCTCCTCATCTCTCCTAAACATAAACCCACCAAAAACAAACTTTTATACTTTTTTTTTTCTTTTCTTAGATCGATAGAGAGAGGGAGGGAGAGATTTTGGGTTTTGGGTTTTTTCTTTTCTCCTTCTCCTCATAGAAAGTTTTGTTCTTCCTTTTCTTTTCTGTTTTGTCTTCTTAGCAATTAATTGGTTTAACTAAATGGGTAATGTGACGTCAAACGTGGCGGCGAAATTCGCTTTCTTCCCACCAACACCGGCTACGTACGGCGTGAGCAAAGACGAGGAGACCGGAAAGCTTATCTTCACCGGAGTCACGCCGGAAAAAAGCATGGAAGTTCATCAGATTACCACCAAATCCGGCAACAAAGTCGTCGCTACGTTCTGGAAACACCCTTTTGCAAGATTCACTCTTCTCTATTCCCATGGCAATGCCGCTGATCTCGGTCAAATGGTCGAGCTCTTCATCGAGCTCCGAGCTCATCTCCGTGTAAACATTATGAGGTTTTAATTATATATACAAATATCCAAAAACTCTCTCTTTTTTGTTGATGAAACGAACCTGAACCTGAACTTGAAACCTCTTCTTATGTCAATGAAACAGTTATGATTATTCAGGCTATGGAGCTTCAACAGGCAAGGTAAGAAAGATATTCATTCAAAAAATTCAAACTTTTGTTATTGATTTGCCTCTTTTATTTAACATTTGATTGTTCTTTAATGAAATAGCCCTCTGAGATCAATACGTACCACGATATCGAGGCTGTGTACAATTGTTTGAGGACCGAGTACGGACTCAAGAAAGAAGAGATGATCCTCTATGGCCAGTCCGTTGGAAGCGGACCAACGTTGTATTTAGCATCTCGATTGAAGAGGCTAAGAGGCATTGTTCTTCACAGCGCAATTCTCTCTGGCCTTAGAGTCTTGTACCCTGTCAAAATGACATTCTGGTTCGATATATACAAAGTAAAGCTCTTTGATCTCATTTCTCTAAGATGATTTTCTCTGATTACATTTTGGTTTGTTTCTCAAAACTCTTTGTTTGGTGGGTTTCTGCAGAACATTGAGAGGATCCGACATGTGACATGCCCTGTTCTTGTCATACATGTAAGGTTTACATTAGCTTTATTTTCTTTTCCTGGTAGTGCAGAGAGATCATTAACATTGGGTTATGAAACTGCAGGGAACAAAAGATGAGATTGTGAATATGTCGCATGGGAAGCGATTGTGGGAGCTTGCAAAGGACAAGTATGATCCATTGTGGGTTAAAGGAGGAGGGCATTGCAACTTGGAGACATATCCCGAGTACATAAAGCACCTGCGTAAGTTCATAAACGCCATGGAGAAACTCGCTCTCAACAATCCACCATCAAAACAACTAGACGACGAGCCAAGCATTAACGAAACTAAGCACAATCGGTGCTTAAGATTCAGGAAAAAGTAGAAGCTGGATCTGAAAGATAGTAGTAAGCAAAGATCACAGGACACGATTTAGATGATTCCTTCCTTGCAAGTTTGCAACACATAGCAATGGAGTCATTTCCTCAAACATGACCACATGGTCCACATCAATGCCAACGAATGCACAACAATGGCGAACCAAGATTTAATCTTTTGTAGGATTTAGCGCTGTAAAAGGAAATGTAATGTAGCAAAAAAGTGTGGAAATACTTGTTTTTTTAATTTAAATATACTTTTTCATTACTTGCAGTTGAAGCAACCAAACCAAAAAGCTCCAAACTTTTTCCGACGCATTCGTATAAACAAAAAAAAAGATTGATTTTTGATGATCATTTACGGGAATCTTAGGCCACATTGTTTGAGGACTTCAAAGTAGCTAACTTTATCATCTCTTTCGTCTAATTTTTCTCCATTGTTACGAAGAAGGCCTTCGATAACTTCTTTGAAGGGAATCGCAGTTTTGTCTCCACCAGGATTTTCCGTTTCAGTTGCAGACGGAGAAGAAGAAGAATCGAGACTCAGATTCTTTACCGGAGAAGCAGATTTCGTTAGTCCTGTATTAGCCACAGAATCAGAAACTGGTTGATTTTCCAAAACCACGGTTCTTTCGATCGCAATCGGAGAAGGAGAATCGAGATCGGAATGCTTTCCCGGAACCCTAACATCGTCAGCCACGACAGTCGTCGGAGAAGACAGAGCAGGCACGGAATCAGAAAGACGATTCGTAAGAGACGGTGAAGCAGAAACAGGCGTCGTCTCGGATTTAGAAGACGGAGGTATCATCTCCGAAACCCTAACTCTGGGTTCAGAATCGGCGGCAGAGGAGAGAGAAGCGTTCTCAGGAGGAGTACGGAACACGTCTTCATCGTTGATAGAATCGAGGCTGGTCGGAGTAGAGAACGAGAGAACCGGAGTTCGAACAACCGTCGGCGAAATCGGATTCCCGAGAATCTCAGTCCTGACCGAATCGCCGGAAGATTTCGTCAGAGGAGAATCAGGGTCAGCGAAAGGGCAGCTCTTTAAGAAAGATCTCTGAGAAGAAGTGATACTGTCGATTTCGCTCTCGTCTTCTCCAACATTTTCCTCCATTTTTGATGACTCTTCTTACACTCTCTCTCTCTGTTCAATTTTCCGTATTAAAAGGAGAGCCAAGTGTAGTACCAAGTCCGGTTTAGTCACTTTCCGGTTTAATCATCGGTCTTTCTTGGTTAATGAAATTCATACAATGATCAATGGAAAATTGAAATTGGCTAACAAAATAACAGGAACGATCAACCAACCATAAACATTATGAAAACGACGACAAAAAAAAAAATTAACAGGAAATATAAAGAGAGAAAACAAGTAAAAGCATTACAATACAAAGCAAATGTCCACTTCTCTCTACTCTTTAGATTGTTCATCCAAAAGATGAACTCTTCTTGTCTTCTTAGCTTTGACGAAAACGAAAACTCTTCGAAGAGAAAAAGCTTAAGAGGAGGCTCTTCTTTCACTCGATCTCCACAATCTGAGGCCTCCTCTCTGCAGCTTTCTTGCGTATGAAGATACCCCATCTCAATGCAGCTTTAAGCTTAAGCCATCCCACCACAGCTTTTCCCGAGCCTCTATTATTCTCTCTCCTGTACGTGTTATCGATCTGAGCCTGGTACGGGAGGCTGTAACCGTAACAAGACTCATCGGTCTGACCAAACCCGCCTTGTGTTCCCATAGTGTTCATACCGATCCCAAACGTCTTCAATAGTCTCTGCATATCGTCAGTTTCAAGCATCTCAGAGCTCCTTAGTCTGATTTCTTCACTGAAAATGTCTTCAAGACCTTGTCCTGTAGCTCTTGGTCGACACCAATCTTCTCCATTGTATGACCCTGTGACATTGGAACTTTCCATCGACCTGTTGTATTCTTGTACGTTGCAAGGTAGTGAGGGTAATAATTGGCTACAGTGTTGCTGCACAAACTGAGGATATTCTATCGGTGGAGGAGCCGGTGAATAGGTAATAACATTTTGATGACATTGCATCGTTTGTCTATTATTCTGGTTATGCACCTGTTGATGGTTCTGAGCTGTATGTGCCGTGGCCATTTTTGGTTCCGGTAAGCTTTTTATTTCCTTGTCGGCAGCTGGTAAGCAATTCAACAGCTTACCGTCGTATTCAACAGCTTTGTGCCAGTTCTCATAAGCCATCTTCACCAAAATGTCTGCAGAAATCTGTGAGCTAACCAATGATCAGCTTAGTAACCAAAGAGACTGATTTCAAATCTTCAGAGAAAGAAATGTCTGTTATTTACCTTTTGGTCATGGTTTAGAGACTCCAGAGATAAGAACTGTCCATTTGCAATAAGGCCTCGGAACTCATAGATATGATTGAAGACAACACCTGTAGTGTGAGTCTGGTCTGTGTAGAAAACATAAAGCTTCCCACCTAACACGCATGTCTTTGCGTGCTCCACCGTGTTCTCCCACATTCTATTCGACATTCCACTCCCAAGCAACTACAATATCAGAAGAAAAGAACAAGAACATTATTAACGTGATGTTTATATCTTTCGCTATGTTAGTGGTTTCTTCACATAAACAAAAGAAGATGCTTACGTTTCTCAGCTTCTGTGGATCCTTAACAAGGAGTCGAAGGAAGTCTTCGACTGTCACGATATTAGCTTTCAACAGCTTCTTGTGTAGCACTCCGTCTTTCGCTATTCTATCCAGTCTCCACACTTCATCATGTAAAACCGGTGGATAGTGTTTCTTGTATACTACAAAAAAGAAAATTTCAGATGACAGAGTCAAGTTAGTAGTAATTTAACACTCTACTTGTCAATACAATCAATAGTATTATAACACTCACATTCTCCTCTATGATCTTTGACAGCAAAAGGTTCTGTTTTGGCTTCACGGATGCGAAAGCAATCACCATACCCTGGAGCCGCTTTAACGCCAAGCCTAAACTTTCTGCTCCTAATCCAACTCGAGTTGTCGGTAAAAGTAAGTTCTCCTAAAGTTCCCACACCTTCCTTAAGCACCACCTGTGTGTCACCGGTTAAGATTGGGCGTTTACCTTCTCGTTCTTTCACTTCAAAGCTCTCAAAGTGCTCTCCTGTCCAATCTTCATCGTCCTCGTCATTGAAGTCTCCCTCTAACACGACAACATTCAGCTTTGAAGCCGACTCTTCTCCTGTTTGGACTACATTTCCTGTGTTTGCATCTGTAAGAACCACATGAATGGCCGAGCCTCGCTCTCCCTCGACTTTCCCGCCTGTGAACAAATGAGGAGGCATTCGCGTCCTATAGTGAAGTTGCAGGTTTCTTCCATCACGGCCTTGGATCCTCTTTGGTTCGGGTGACCTGGAGATTCCATGTTAGTTTAGCCACAAAGCAAACGCTACAAATATCACAGAACCAACTCAAGAGGAAATGGTATAACTGGAGGTAATACCTCGACGTTAACTTTGCATTTCCCAACCTTGACAAGGCTCGTTCCACCTCTTCGCTAACCTGTTTGTTTGTCCACACCAAACCAAATTTACAACTCCGCAAGCATCTCAAAATTTACTCTAAAACCATTACGTGTCTAACCTTAAGAATATGAAAAAAAAAAAAACTCACAATTCTGCGAAACAATGGCTCCAAAGACGAGCAAAGCCTCTGCAGGCTATCTACCTTGACAGCTTCCACAATAACACTGTAAACAGTTTGTTTCATATGACGGATGAGCAAATCAACAAACTTGGAAACGAATCAAGAGCTTTGGAAACTTAACAACAAACTTTTGAGAACTTAAACAAAAAAAGAACCATATATCAACAAAGGATAAAACTGCACTCAAGAAGTGTTCAAGAATCTTAGTTTCAAACGCAACAGAGTTTACATTCTCCTCCATGATCTAACCAAGTTCTCCTTCAGTAGTTTTGAGGTATAACCATTGAGCTACCTTGAACTGGAAAAAAGACAGAAAAGGAAGTTACCTTGCCAAAGCAGGCACTTTTTGTCTCTTTGTTTCGGGCAAGTTGTCTCTATCCTCTTGACTGCATTCGTATCCACGCTTGTTCAAGGAACTTTCCATTTAAGAAAAAAAATTACAATCTCTGTGTCGAGAGATATACAAAACTATTCTAAAGTTAGAAAAAAACAGCAGAAGTCCACGAAAGGAAGCTTCAGAGAAGAACACAGAAGAAACATAACACAAATAATAAGTTGAAAATAGAACAAATAGCCTCAAGCTATAGAGTTTGGACAGCCCACATGGGTTTGGACGGTTTGCAGAAGTCACTGAACCGAGATCTGTTCTTTAATGGTAGATCTAAAGCGTTGATAAAAAAACTATATGGAATCTGTCCATGTGAGCATTAGAATAATGCAAAGAGAGAGAGAGAGAAAGGGAGAGTATTTTAATGGCTGACACTAAAATAAAAAAATCAAAGAATTAGGAAAAAGCAGCTGTTTTTGTGCATGAATGAATATTGAAAGTTGATACCGCGTGATACCTGGAACTATCATATGCTGCATTATGTCAACCGAAATGCGTTTTTGACTTCTCCAGTTTTGTCTCTTCTCTGCTCTTGTCCCCCCTTCACACATTCTCATGTTTCTTAAACATCTGAAAAGTCTCTGTTAGCCTTTACATAGAAGAAAACAGAGTCCAAGTGACTCTTGACCCGCTTATGCTTAGGCCATGCTTATATCACACACACATGCATCAAACATTAGCTGCAACACAAATCCTCTAAAGAAATCAAATCAGATGCAAATCTCAACAAACACAAAACCCAAGTTTAGAAAGATCAAAAGTACATATTTATCTCTGGCTAATGAGAATTTGATGGTTGGATTTGCCAATGAACATGAACTAAAAAATACAGAAGTCGGTGACTTATCTCGTCCACTGTGACTGGACAAAAATATATATCTGAAGAAAAGTCAATACAAGCACACCCTTTCTTTATCTATATTTGGATTCAAGAGGGAAAAAAACTACATACATAGAGAACATGGGATATAAGACTTTGCCTTGAGGATTAAGCGATTCCCATGTTCTCATGAGTTGTATGCGGAAGAGAAAATCTAGTTTGCTCCCATCGAGAAACTCTTCAGGGGTAGACTGAGAGAGGAAGTCACTAAAACAGTGAATTACTTACTCACCTTCCCAGCCTAATTGCCGAGCCCTCCGCTCCCACAAAGAAGTGATCTTCCTCTCTTTGAGCAACAATGCTTGAGCTCTCTCTCTAGCGGATTCGCAGATTTCCGTGGCGGCGTTACACTTCTCAGCCTCCTTTTGGTACTGTGAAGCAACCCTCTTTGCTTCGGCGAGTGTAACATTCATGTGACGACTATGCTCTTCTGAAACTACTTCTTGCAGCTTCAACTCTTCCGTGAGAAGATCCACAAACTGCTTCTCCATCTCTTGTTTAAGCTCTGGATCACCACTTCCACAATCTGTCTATGCTCACGGGACTTGACCTTAACGGCCACGAGAAAATCATGAGAGATTCGAGTGCGATTATGGACAAGTATCACGATCCGATCATCGATGCAAGGATCAAGATGTGGAGAGAAGGAAAGAGAACTCAAATCGAGGATTTTCTAGACATTTTCGTTTCGATCAAGGACGAAGAAGGAAACCCATTGCTTACCGCCGATGAAATCAAACCAACCATTAAGGTAATAATCACGTTACATTTCTTTATCGTTTATACATATTAACACAAGGTTTTTAATCCGAAATAAATTTTTTCAGAAAATACCATTTTACGTAATTTATATTTCGAAGATTGCTCGTACATATATCACATAACTAATTTTGGATATATCCGTTCTTAACAGCTAATTAAAAAATCGTAGAAAATGACATTTAAGTCATAAACTTTTTTTTTTTTTTTTTTTGCAAAATTGATTGTTAGTTAAAATATATTTCTTTGAGAATTTTTTCTTCCTCGTGATTTTGTTTCAAATAACGAATATATGCTACTAGTATTATTCATGTGTGAGTGGTATTCGTTACATGATGAAGACATAGACTAAGAGAGCCCAAATTAATAAAACTTGTTTATTTATGATCAATAGGAACTTGTAATGGCGGCGCCAGACAATCCATCAAACGCCGTCGAATGGGCCATGGCGGAGATGGTGAACAAACCGGAAATTCTCCGTAAAGCAATGGAAGAAATCGACAGAGTGGTCGGAAAAGAAAGACTTGTCCAAGAATCCGACATCCCAAAACTTAACTACGTCAAAGCCATTCTCCGTGAAGCTTTCCGTCTCCATCCAGTCGCCGCCTTTAACCTCCCACACGTGGCACTTTCCGACACAACCGTCGCCGGATACCACATCCCCAAAGGAAGTCAAGTCCTTCTTAGCCGATATGGGCTAGGCCGTAACCCGAAAGTTTGGGCCGACCCACTTAGCTTTAAACCGGAGAGACATCTCAATGAATGCTCCGAAGTTACTTTGACTGAGAACGATCTCCGATTTATCTCATTTAGTACCGGGAAAAGAGGTTGTGCTGCTCCAGCTTTAGGTACGGCATTGACCACGATGATGCTCGCGAGACTTCTTCAAGGTTTCACTTGGAAGTTACCAGAGAACGAGACACGTGTTGAGCTGATGGAGTCTAGTCATGATATGTTTTTGGCGAAACCATTGGTTATGGTTGGTGAGCCAAGATTGCCGGAACATCTTTACCCGACGGTAAAGTAAAACGACGGCGTATATATTTTAATATATAACTTTTTACGTACTTATATGTAATTAACCACCACTGAGTTTGGTCGATTTCCGGTTACCAGAAGATAATCGGTCAATTTGTGAACAAACTTATGTTTGGTTTTGGTTCTTTTGGAGACACTTGAATTGTGTCTCCCTTTCACCTCTATTTTTCTTTTTTTAATTTCAATAAAATTTGTTCCTTTGTTCCTTTTTCTTTTTTTATAATAAAATATGTCTCTTAATGATGATCCTAAACTTTATAATAACAGTCATATATTTCAAAAAGGCACACATGTGACATTTGAATAATGCAATGCTAATGTTGAGACGAGCCTGTCTCTTGTTCAAACCCAGTTGTGTTACTGTACGAACAATCTCTTCTTCTTCTTCTTCTTCAAGTTACATCGATCGTCATATTAGTGTGATTCTTTGCGACAAGCTCTCGACTTTAGAATCTCTGCGTAAACACAACGCACTTATCATCACCGGAGGAAACTCAGACAATGTCTTCGTCGCTTCGAAGCTAATTTCATCTTACGCTTCTTTCGGGAAACCCAATATATCTTCAAAAGTCTTCGACTTGGTTAGTCAAAGAGATGTGTTTCTATGGAACTCTATCATCAAAGCACATTTCTCCAACGCAGATTATCCACGAGCGTTGGATTTCTTCTTCTCGATGCTATTGTCTGGCCAATCGCCTGATCATTTCACTGCTCCGATGGTTGTTTCCGCTTGTGCGGAGCTCTCGTGGTATGATGTTGGGAGTTTCGTTCACGGATTGGTTTCGAAACATGGGGGCTTTGAACGAAACTCTGCAGCTGGAGCGTCTTTTGTTTACTTCTACGCCAAGTGTGGGCGTTTAGAAGATGCGTGTCTTGTGTTCGACGAAATGCCTGAGAGAGATGTGGTTGCTTGGACTGCGATTATATCTGGGCATGTTCAGAACGGGGAGAGCGAGAGAGGTCTTGAATATCTCTGCAAGATGCATAGTGTTGGTTCTGATGATGAAAAGCCGAATCCCAGAACATTGGAATGTGGGTTCCAAGCTTGTGCAAATTTGAGCGCTTTGAAACAAGGAAGGTGTCTTCATGGGTTTACGGTAAAAAATGGTTTAGCTTCTTCTAACATTGTCAAGTCTTCGACTTTTTCGTTGTATACAAAATGTGGGAATCCAGCTGAGGCTTATCTTTCTTTTCGTGAGCTTGGTGATGAAGATATTTTTTCATGGACATCGATTATAGCTTCAATGGCGAGATCAGGGAACATAGAGGAAAGTTTTGATATGTTTTGGGAAATGCAGAGAAAGGGAATACAACCAGATGGGGTTGTCATTAGCTGTTTGATTAATGAGTTAGGTAAGATGATGCTTGTCTATGAAGGTAAAGCCTTTCACGGTTTCGTCATAAGGCATTGTTTTTCTTTAGACGGTACAGTTTGCAATTCGTTGTTGTCCATGTACTGCAAATTTGAGCTTCTCCCTGTGGCTGAGAAGCTTTTCTGTAGGATACGTGAAGAAGGAAACAGAGAAGCTTGGAATACGATGGTTAAAGGCTACGGTCAATTGAAATGTGACGTAAAGTGTATCGAGTTATTTAGACAGATTCTGAATATTGGAATTGAAATTGACTCTGCTAGCTTGGCCTCTGTCATATCTTCATGTTCCCACGTAGGAGCGGTGCTACTGGGGAAGTCGTTGCATTGCTATGTTGTCAAAACTAGCTTGGATCTTACCAATTCTGTGGTCAATTCCCTCATTGATTTGTATGGAAAGATTGGAGATTTGACTGCCGCTTGGAGGATGTTTTGTGAAGCAGATAAGAGCATTGTCACTTGGAACGCAATGATTGCGTCTTATGCTCACTGTGAGCAATCCGACAAAGCCATTGCGTTATTCGATAGAATGATTTCTGAGAATTTCAAACCCAGCTCGATAACTTTGGTGACTGTTCTTATGGCTTGTGCCAATACTGGATCTCTGGAGAGAGGGCTAAAGATTCATCGGTACATCACTGAAACAGAGCACGAGATGAATCTTTCTCTCACAACTGCTCTGATTGACATGTACGCGAAATGCGGACAGCTTGAAAAGTCACGACAACTGTTTGATGCTGCAAATCAAAAGGACACCGTATGTTGGAATGTAATGATCTCAGGGTATGGAATGCACGGAAATGTCGAATCGGCGATAGAGCTATTTGATCAGATGGAAGAGGCCGATGTTGAACCAACGGGGACTACGTTTCTCGCTCTTCTATCAGCTTGCACTCACGCTGGTTTAGTTGAACAAGGCAAAAGCCTTTTCCTCAAGATGCATCAGTGCAACTTGAAACCAAACTTGAAGCATTACTCTTGTCTAGTGGATCTTCTTTCCCGGTCTGGTAATTTGCAGGAAGCTGAAACCACGGTCATGTCAATGCCATTCTCACCAGACGGAGTTATATGGGGGACTTTGTTGAGCTCATGCATGACTCATGAGGAGTTTGAGATGGGAATACGAATGGCAGAACTTGCGGTTGCTAGTGATCCTCAGAACGATGGTTATTATATAATCCTTGCGAACATGTATAGCGCTGCGGGTAAGTGGGAACACGCAGAAAGGGCACGAGAGATGATGAAGGAAAGTGGAGTTGGGAAGAAAGCTGGATATAGTGTAGTCTAGTAGAAATTTTTAATAGTGCAATCCATCATCTTCGGTGGTTAATTTTTCTAATTACAGTGCATGATAAGCAATTGATCTATGCTATAGAATTCCTTGCGCCATGTTCCTATTATCGTTATTTTATAAATTTAAACATAGATACATAGATATCGAATTAAATTTCATTTTATATATTCAAAATCGAAAATGAAAGGGTAAACCTTAGCTGATCATAATAAGAAGACAAATAAAGAAGAACTCGGCTTCATAATAAGTCTTTTCAGACCAACGATACTTGTAAAATTCGGGAGCCTGATTTTCAAGACCTTACAAAAATCAGACACGAAACGTGAACCAGCGATAAACATCTGGTTGGAGGAGAATTTAGAGTTAGACTAAACCGAAAAGTCCTTACCAAAAATCTTGAAATTGTATTAGTTTAGCAATTTTTAAAATAAGAATTTTAGGAGAAAATCTACAATATCATATTGATTTTTTCGCAGTGTGCTCGTAAAATTTAACTTTATCTGGAGCTTTCTTAAAGACCACAAAATGGAAGTACAAAATGAAGTTAAATTTAACTTTAGGAGCTTTTACAACAGACAACATGTTTTTTTAATCATCTTAAACATGTCGTAAAATACTATCGAAAATACCGAAAAAAATCTGGCCAATTAAATATTTAGCAGAAAATACATGGTTTATTACAGAAATTGCCAACAACAAAAAAAATTCACACAAAACAACAAAACAAAAACTATTCTCTCCATAACATGACAAGTGGTTTCTGGACTTAAACACTTCAAATTTTTAAAAATATCTGCCGGCAGATCCTAATTGCAACATATTCTTTTTGGTTACACACTTGCCCTCTCAGTCTCAGTCTCAGTCTCTCAGATACTGATTGCTTTGAAAAAAAAATCAATCACGCAAGTAAGAAAAAGGAAAAGAGGACTATTATTTTTTTTTGTGGTGAAAATATAAATTTAAAGGTAGCGAATCAAAACATGTCACGTATTCCCCTGTCAATTTTATAATACTTTATTTTGAACGACTCGTTAATATTACACTTGACTTCTTTTTTCACTTCCTTGTCGAGATTCTGTCTCTTTCACTCTCTCTGCAACTCTCGCAACAAGAGAAGAGAATCAAATGGCGAGTTGCTTCAGCTACGTTTCTTCTCGTAACAAATGTTACCAATACAGCTTCTCTCGCGCCGGTCTCCGATCATCCACTTCCGATCTCGGCGACGGCACCGTCGTCCACTGCTGGGTCCCACAGACCCACATCGACACTAAGCCCACACTCCTCCTCCTCCACGGGATCGGAGCTAACGCTATGTGGCAGTGGGACCGGTTCATCGACCGGTTTATTCCACGGTTCAACGTCTACGTGCCGGACCTCATTTTTTTCGGCGAGTCGCACACAACTCGGCCCGACCGGTCCGAGTCGTTCCAGGCGAGTTGTGTCATGAAGGTGATGGATGCTCACGGCGTTGGGACTATGACAGTGGCCGGTCTCAGCTATGGCGGGTTCGTGGCGTACTCCATAGCGGCGCAGTTTGAGGAGAGGATAGATAGGGTCGTGCTCATATGCGCCGGGGTTGCTCTGGAGGAGAAAGACGTGGAGGATGGGATGTTCAAAGTGAAGAGTCCGGAGGAAGCTGCGATGGTTTTGTTTCCTCAGTCTCCTTCGATGCTCCGGCGACTTCTCCAGTTATCTTTCTACAAGCCTCCGATTTGGATTCCTTCTTGCTTTGCCATGGACTACATTCATGTAAGTTTCTATCAATTTGCACTTCCATTCACTGCTAGTTGTTAATTGTCGATCATGGATGAAATGAAAGTTTAGTCCTTTTGTATATTCATTTCAATGGGTCCTCAGTCTCACACTTTTGAGTTTCCAGCCAAATATTTTATGGTGTTGAGTTATTGCTTTAGCTTCAAAAATTGTTTGGTGTTCAAAAGACCAATATAGTAGCTTCCTTATTTTTTTGGGAATGTATTTTGGCGCAAAAAGGGTTTAGGGTTTTGCAACTTGATGTGTGGAGAATTTTTGTTGCAAGGTGATGTGTAGAGATTATCTCCAAGAAAGGAAAGAACTCGTGGAAGCTCTACATAAAGGTAGAAGATTTGCCAATCTTCCAAAGATAACACAGGTCTCTGATCTATCAGCGCAGCTTCTAATCTTGGTCTAATTTGTCTCTATAATCTCTTAGTGTTCTCATTTGTTTGCTTGGCTGATCATTTGTAGCCTACATTGCTGATATGGGGAGAGGAAGATCAAGTCTTTCCAGTGGAATTAGCACATCGATTGAAAAGGTTAATCTAAATCACACTTACCGAATCAATCATTTTGCTTACACGGTTTAATGACGATTAATACGAGTTTTTATCTGTTTAATGTTTCAGACATTTAGGGGAAAACAGAGCTCAATTAGTGCTGTTAAAGAAGACAGGGCATGCGATTAATGAAGAGAAACCAAAGGAGATGTATAAACACATGAAATCTTTTCTTTGCACAGACGCAATGATTCTTCCTAAGGACGATGCTAAGAGACTCATGTTAGCAAGCTTAGTATCTCCAGATCAGATGATCAACAAGTGATGTTACTGAAGGCTGCTTAACTAAATAAGTTCCATTTGTTTTGTTCCTCCCGTAATCATGTTTAGTTTGTCACTAAGTGTGATTAATGTTTAATTATATTAGTTACTGTTAAAACATTGCTTCTTGTTCGAATTAAGAATACTTCTTATCTCAAGGACGTAAAAGATCTGATAAGCTTCTGATATGAACACTTTACAACATTTCTATCTTGAAGCTTGTCTAATTTGCATCATAAATAATCATAAGTTTATGAAAGTTTCCTTTGGTCTCGTAATTAAACCGATCTGGTTGATAGTTTTGAATTTAAACCGATGTAGTTGATAGTTTTGCAATTAAACCGGTGACCTACCTCGCCGGTGGGGTTTATTTTAAAATATACAAATAATAACGAAATTAAATATAATTTCGAAATAAATAAAAAAAGGGCTAGAAAAAAGTTGGAGTGTGAGAGTCTTTCATTTCTTTAGAGTCTACTCGTTTTCTTATCTATCGCACAACTCTCGCTTCTGCTTCTTCCTCCTCCCGTCGTCACCATTCGATTGCGGTAAGATTCAGCTTCTCCTTCCTCTGTTCGTTTTTTTCTCTCTTCTTTGATTCAAATCATCCAGAAAATGTCGTTTTTCATAAAAACCACTGTTTGATTTTTCATCCGCGAAGATAAAAGTTTTTGCAGCTCGTGTTTAAAAGAGATTTCCATCGTATTTCTTCATAAAGTTGTGTCCTTTTTTTGGTTAATATGGTGAAAGTAAATCTTTTTATTGTCTGGAATCTGTTGGTTAGAGCGTCGTGCTAATAACGCGAAGGTCGCAGGTTCGAAACCTGCATGGGCCATAAATTTATTTATTTTTTTTCAAAATATTGTTCCAATCTTTTTTTTTTTTTTTTCTTTCAAACAGATGCGAACGGAAAAGAAAACAACAATCCGACGCCGACGCTTTGGGGACCCACTGCACTAATCAATAATCGTGTCCCGCTCACTTTAATCCAAATCTCATCTCCTGTCTAGGCACTTCACTCTACTTCCGGTGCTCCCCACAACTTACATCCTCCGCCATGTTTCTCGATTTCCACCACGTGTCTATTGCACTACGTGTCGTAATCGTATCTCATCTCACTCTCAATCATCGAAGACTCTCCCACAGTAGATCACAGTAAACACAACGATTAAAAATCAATCAATCATCAAACTCGCTTTTTGGGTTTCTCTCTCTGTCTCGCTCTCTCTCACCGGTTTAACAGCTACAGAACAGAGAAAGTCCACAGGCAACGCTCTAGAGAGAGAGAGAGAGAGAAAATCGTTATAACAGTTCCGAAGAAGATGGCCGGAGGATACGGCGGCGCAACGGGAAAAGTGGATTACGTGTTCAAGGTTGTCCTGATCGGCGATTCAGCTGTTGGAAAGTCACAGCTACTTGCTCGATTCGCTAGAGACGAATTCAGCATGGACTCAAAAGCAACCATCGGTGTCGAGTTTCAGACTCGTACGCTCGTCATTGAAGAAAAAAGCGTCAAAGCTCAGATCTGGGATACCGCCGGCCAAGAAAGGTACACACTTTTCTCTTAAGATTCTCTCTACGTTCAACATTTTCGATGGATCTGTATTTTAAGAAGCGACTTGAGTTTGACTTAGTGTTAGAGGTAGGAACGTAATGGATCAGCTTTGACTAGATCCTGAATCTGTGTATTAAGAGTTTGGTCGGATCAGAATATTTAAGTAATCTGTTCGCATTAATTTAAGGTTTAGACTGGAATGTGATAAGTTTATGTTTGGTAATAAGCAGATACAGAGCGGTTACGAGCGCATACTACAGAGGAGCAGTTGGTGCGATGCTTGTTTATGACATAACTAAACGTGAAACCTTTGACCATATCCCTCGTTGGCTTGAAGAACTGAGAGCACATGCTGATAAGAACATTGTCATCATCCTGATTGGGAACAAGTCTGATCTTGAAGATCAAAGAGCGATTCCTACTGAAGACGCCAAAGAGTTTGCGGAGAAGGAAGGACTTTTTTTCTTGGAGACGTCAGCTCTAAACGCAACCAATGTTGAAAACTCCTTCAACACTCTCATGACAGAGATCTTCAATACTGTGAACAAGAAGAATCTATCATCTGTCGAGAGTCAAGGCCAGTCAAATAACCCTGGTTCGTTGGCTGGTAAGAAGATTCTCATCCCAGGTCCCGGACAAGAGATTCCCGCTAAGGCCAGCACCTGTTGTAGTTCTTCTTGATCTGTGTCGTTACAAAGTAAAATTCATCTTATTTTTTTTTCCCACTGAATTCTTATGCGTACATTGTATATTCTTTTGGAATCTGGCTTGTGTTGCTTGGTTCATTGAACAATGGTGCAATTGGACACCGATAGAAAGAGTATTGGAACTAATAGCTTTTGATATAAATGTGAAACGACAGTCTTCAGTTATGTCAGTGATCAGCTTCAAGCTGTCTCCATTGCTTCCTTTTATCGGCAACTCTATGGATAAGTGTACATTAATGTGCTTACAGCTTCAAGCTGTCTCCATCAGCCAATCTTAGGCCATAAACCCTGATTAGAATCGCTTTATCAAGCCAGTCTAGCTCACATTTCTCGGCCCATCGTATTACATCTACATGATGTGCCAAGTACAACATGCATGGACGGATTTGCAAATACCAGTCTAACACTTTCTCCACACGAGACACGAGCACAGCTTGTAACAAAGCAAAACTCTTCCATTCAAACCGATTGAAAGAAAGAGCATTGGAACAAAAAAATAGCCTTCGATTGAAAATACATGAAACTAGCAGTATTAGAGTTCATATTACTGATGTAAAGCTTCAAGCTGTCTCCCACATTACTTTCAATCAGCAAGCAAGTCTCTGGATAAGTTGGTCGCAGTCCACTGTCGTGACCATAACAGTTAAGCTGGCTTTGCCCTTCCAGCATCCAATGGCTATAGTTGATGAATTCACTTTGACTGCTTCACACCCGAGTTTCTGAGTACCTGTAGGAACCAAGAAAGCGTTATAAACCATATCCAACATGACTGAAAAAACCATACGTAACTTCTTATCCATGAAACACAGTCACACACCATCAACGAGAACAACCACGCAATATCCCTTGGATACTTCTGCTGCTTTCTGGCCAAACTGTGGATGGACGAAATCTGGGAACTTGATCGATTTGTATTCCAGGAGATTCTTGAAATCAACCATTGTTGCGTATAGTATTTGCTTGGTCATGTATGGAAGGATCACAGGCAATCCCTCTGATGTTATGCGGAATGAGCAGGAGTTAGCTTCACATTCTCTTGCCGATTGTTTCTCCTGCGTTTTCGGTCAGTTAAAACTTATCAAAACTCATACTCCTGACATTTGGTATTTTTGATCGAGAGCAATTAAAAAAAAAAACATGTGGTGCTTACAAACATCTTGAGGCCAACAGATGCGATCTTAATCTTCTGCCCAACCGCAATATTAAGCTCAAGAACATCCTTAACCGATCTTGAAACAAAGTAAATCCTTTTCACGTTGCCTTTGCTGCTCGTGTCGCTGTTTCTAGTCACGAGATGACCGTTGAGAGGAAAGGACTCATCTTTGATGCCGTAAAATGTCTTGATCCCATTGATCACTGCTTCATCTCTCAAGAAAACAACAGGGTCAAGGCCTTTCCACTTCCCTTGCACTGGTGGTACTTCTTGAGCCAATTCTATAATGCCTTCTTCGCTGGTGCTTTCCTTCTCAAGCTTCAAGCCATTCACTGAAGCGGCTTCTTCTACAACTATTTCCTCTGTATACTCTTCAGGTTTTGCAACCACAGTGTCAGAGACTGCTTCGAACGAAGATTTTTCAGCTGATTTTCTGCCTCTAGTAGACAGATTCTTTCTCTGATTTGGTTTCTCCTGAAAATCTGCAAGAAAATTAATCATCTTGCGAATCCTACTGTTGTGCACCCGAAAAGATCTTAAAATTTACCTGGTAAAGGTGAAACTTTGTGAAGCACTGCAATGAAAAATCCACCAGTGTTCTGATCATGAGGCAGTATCCTCACACAGCGTTCAAGGGGAAGATCACAGACTTCCTCTGCTGATTCATCAGAGGAGATAGAAGCCATTTCTTCATAGCTACTTCCGCCACCTGATGTTGAGTCTTTATCACTTTTACCAGAAGGAAACATGCTTTTTAGAACTCCGTCTCTCTG